ATAATGGTCACAAGCTGGCAGAGGTTAAATTCAGATTAGACATCAGGAGGCGCTACTTCACAGTCAGGGTGGCTAGGATCTGGAACCAACTTCCAAGTGAAGTGGAACTGGCTCCTACCCTGGGGGTCTTTAAGACAAGGCTTGACAATCACCTTGCTGGGGTGGTTTGACCCCAGTACTCTTTCCTGCCGTGGCAGGGGGTCGGACTTGATGATCTGCTCAGGCCCCTTCCAACCCTACTAACTATGAAACACTGAGCTTAGAAACCCTCAGCATAAAACTCGAGAAGCAAGAAGGCTTTTTTGGCTAGGTTGATGGAATCCTGGAAAAGACCTGGTGATGGGGAAGCAGCATGTGGAGCTAGCTGCAGAGGAACCTGCATTTTTATTTATCTAATGAAGTCTCCCTGCCCTTTTCTGGTCTTCTGCAGGAAGACACCATGGAGGAGTCTGGTTGGAAGCTTGTGCATGGTGATGTCTTCAGGCCTCCCCAGTATCCCATGATCCTCAGCTCCCTATTGGGTTCTGGAATTCAGCTTTTTTGCATGATCCTGATAGTCATCTGTGAGTAGCACCGGCTGTCCTCTGTCCTTGGGCAGCTGTGCTTGGAAGGGGTGTGATACTTGCACAGACATAACCAGAATGGAGTGGCATGCCTGTGACTTCGCTGACAGCAGTGTGGCTCACAGGTGCCTGCCTTCCCTCTGAAGTAGCCCTGGTTGATTCTGACTAGCCAGTCAAAGCTGATGCACACTTAAGAGTGCTGAGTTTTTAGGCATCTTTTGTGAAGGAAAACATGTAGTTTCTCTGGGGTCAGCTGTTGTGGAGTTCTTTGGATCTAAAGCCCATCCATGATCTAAGAGCACTGTGCAGAATGGGCTGTGGAAGGTAAAGGGAGTCATTTTCAGTCATGCTGAGAGACCAGGCCTGTGTCCTGTGGGGCTGGTGGTCTCGGTTATGACCTGAGAAATTCAAGTCCTGTGGAGAAGGCAAAGACTTGCCGGATTCCCTGGCCAGTTCGCTTGAGGCAGGAACCTGTCCTGAAACAGCTTGTTAGTAGACCATGAGCCTTTATTGTCACCTCTCCCGTTTGCCTTGCAGTCGTTGCCATGCTGGGGATGCTGTCGCCATCTAGCCGGGGTGCTCTGATGACCACGGCCTGCTTTCTCTTCATGTTCATGGGGTATGTGTTTTTGCGACATTCCCACAGTGGTGCCATTGTCTGACACGCGATGGGAATTGACCGTATTTTTGCCTATTTTCACACAGGGTTTTCGGGGGGTTCTTTGCTGGCCGTTTGTATCGAACTCTGAAAGGCCATCGGTGGAAGAAAGGAGCTTTCTGCGTAAGTGGCTCCTTGAGCCTTCTTGCCAGGTAGTTGAGGGCAGGGTGCCTGGGCTGGGTGGAAGCAAGCAATTTGGCCACCTGCTGTATAGGGGCCATGTCAGCTGGGTGTGGGGTGTAATGCTGTGCATGAGATCTTGACAAGGAGGCAGTCATCACGGTGTGGATCACGGCAGAGTAAAGGAAGAGGGTGCGGTGTAGAATCCCAGGCGCGCACAGAGGAGGAAGGTGGCTGCTGGATGCTAGCAAGATTTTCCCAGATATTTCCTCTGCATCTGTTTCTCCAGCGATAGGCCCATGAGAAAAGGCTGGGGTTTAGCAGGCTCCTGTTCTCTTCCACGTGTGTTCTTCTCTGCAGACTGCTATCCTGTACCCTGGCGTGGTCTTTGGGATCTGCTTCATCCTGAACTGTTTCATCTGGGGAAAGCACTCCTCTGGAGCAGTATGTACCCATTCTCCTTGCAAGCCTGGCTGGGGTGGGGTAATTTAGTGTTTCCGAGAGAGTGCCTCAGTCCCTGGAACATGCAGAGGTCTGCAGTCGAGAGCTAGCCCTGTGATGGTGAATCCATCAGGCGGTTCACACTGGGGGGTCTGGCTGTTAGAAAGCCCAGGAATGCACCAGCTGCAGTGTCTGGGAGGGGGCAGTGCTTTTGCTTCACCTCAGCTGGAGCTTCTGTGGAAGGGACTGTTCAGTGGGGAGATGCCTGAAGGATAAAGGGCAAGAGCAGTTTAGAAAAGCAGGCGAGTCCCTGTTGAAGAAGGACTTGCCCACATGGCAGGTGTTTTGGCAGCTGTACCTGGATGCAGATGGCTGATGAGATGCCTTTGCAGCTAAGCAGGCCAGGGCCCAGAGCTGCACTTCCAGGAGTCTGCCAGGAGAGGCTGCCCACGTAGGGGCATAGAAGCAACAAGCAACTCAGTGAAGCTGCTCTGGGAAATGACTCCTTGGCTTTGGTTCCTGTGTGCTCAGTGGAGGCTGCAGCTCCTCTGCTTGCCTTGGGGACAGGGTTGTTGGCAGTTTTGGTTTTGCTTTCATACTTGAAGTGAG